CTTGCCATGTGAAGCAGGAATAATCCCAGTGGTAGTGAATCCATTGTGACCCTCTCTCTTTTGGGAGCAGAGAGATTCATTTAAAATCTCCTTGCCAGGCATGAGGTTGCGTGGAGGGGATGGCAGAGTTCCATTTGATCCTGCGGCCTGATAGTGACCTGGAGGTATAGTAAGAAGGACCAGGAGACACTTCCCTCATCCAGCCCTACCCTGAACTTCTTGTCAGGCTCATGAATTTAGCCTTCACAGAAGCCAGGTCAGAAAGAAGCTCCTCTTTGTTCCCAAAAGTGGGCTTAGACTGATGGGACTCCCCACATTGGCAAGCCTTCTCCTCAGTGGAAAAGGTTTGTTCTTTAGAAGGCTGTTTCCTTTCTTGTCTCCCTTGCCCCTTTCCGCTGGACTATCAGGGTATGTCTAGATTACATGCCTCTGCCAACAGCTCCATTACGCCTCGTGAAACGAGGTTTACAGGAGCGGTCAACAAAGGCTTCCCTTGTCTACCGATCCGCATCTTGACTGCCGCTCTGTGCTGACGATCAGCTGAGCCGGCACAGTGCAGTGGCCATGTTTATTTTAATGAAGCCAGGAATATTTAAATCCCGGCTTCATTGACTATGTCGGGTAGCCTGTTTTATATGCCTCTATCAGCAGAGGCATGTAATCTAGACATACCCTCTGAGGGCAGTATTGCAGGAGCAGATTGGGGCACAGTCAGGAGCTCTCTTTGCATATCTACTGTACTGCATTCCTTTTTCCTGGATCTGTCAGTTAGGGATGTAAAATCCTATTTAATTGGTTACATGTTAGGTTTAACCGGTTAACTGATTAAACGGGGGTGGGGGTGGAGGTGGAGGTGTGCAGCAGCCCCCCACACCAAGGGCAGGGGTTGCTCCAGCCCAGCTGCTTCTGGCCCTGGGCTGGAAGCCAGCAGTCCCATGAAGATGGAGCAGCCCTCCGCTCACAGAGGGCTGCAGGCTGCTCCTGGGTAACGGTTAACTCTTACCCACTAAGCATCACTCATTAAGGGTGATGCTTACTGTGTAACTGGTTACCCATTCACATCCCTGTATTCATCCTAAGTGATCCATGTGTGAGTTGCTCTCCATTCACATACCCACCAAGCCCTCTAGAGCTTAGAGTGTTCATCCTCTAAGCTCTAGAGGGCTTGGTGGCTATGTGAATGGGTATGTCCTTAGAGGAGGACAAAGACAAGGACCAGAGGAGTAAGGGAACTAAAGAAATTGTTATACCAGCTCAGTATTATACTAAGCTATTATTTGTAGGGCTCTAAATTAAAACAATAAATCACAATTGTGAGATTAAAAAAAAGTCGTGATTAATCACAGTTTTATTTGCATTGTTACACAAGACAGGAATACCAATTTGCTCACTTTATATTATTTTTTTAATTATAAATACTTGCATTATAAAAAAGAAGATAGACTTCCTCACAGCTGCTTTGGACTCCATAACCTTCAGAGTCTACCTGTCCATGGAAAGATTCCATAGTATGTCTAGTCTGACCGCTACAAAACAGCAGAGCCTGATGATAATAGTAAGGATCTGCTTACAACCCCTGAGCCACATGTTGGTTTCCATGTTTGTCGCTCCTCAAATGAAATCACCTCAGGTGCCTTCAAATGTGACTAAGGACTGTGTACACCCCAAACAAACAGTCTCTCCAAGTGCATCAGAGTACTTCTGAACTATCTCAGGCGATGGAAGGACCCCCTTAAAGTCTTCATATCCCTTTTTTGAGATGGGGGCTTACTTCCAAGGGGCAATAGCCCAGGACAATTGGTCCACACAAGCGGTCCACACAAGAGGCCACACTCCACATCAACATCTCAAAGCTACATGTTTGATACGCATGTCAACTCTTCCATCACAACACAGTGGCTGTGTCTACACTGGGCCACTTATTCCGGAAAATCAGCCGCTTTTCCGGAATAAGCTGCGAGCTGTCTACACTGGCCCTTGAATTTCCGGAAAAGCAACGACGCGCTACTGTACAAAATCAGCCGTTATTCCGAAAAAGCTACACTGCTCCCTCTCGGGCATAAGTCCTTATTCCGGAACACTGTTCCGGAAAAGGGCCAGTGTAGACAGCCAGTAGTCTTTTCCGGAAAAAAGCCCCGATCGCGAAAATGGCGATCGGGGCTCTTTTCTGGAAAAGCGCGTCTACATTGGCCACAGACGCTTTTCTGGAAAAAGGGCTTTTCCGGAAAAGCAGCCTGCCAATGTAGACACTCCTTTTCTGGAAAAACTGAAAACGGAATAGTATTCCATTTTAAGCATTTCCGGAAATTCATGCCAGTGTAGACACAGCCATAGGGTCACATCCTTCATTGCATCCACAGGATGCTAAGGAGTCATTGATTAAGAACATGTAATGGCTTCCTAATACCTCCACAATGGGTTTGACCACAGAAAGAGTATTTTGAATAGGTCTTAATTTATTATCTGGGAATATCAGTTTACTTGATTGCTATTAAGCATTCAAGAAGGTAACGACCAATAGGATGAATCCTTTGCCTTGTGATTTTTGTGTTTGTAAATTGTGAACAAATATTTAACTCTGCCTGCATCATACTTAAGGTTACATCCTCTCAGCACTGGGACATGGCCCTAGAGAGAATACACATATTACAGAAAGATGCATCTGCTTCCTATTATCAGAGCAGACCACACCAAGCACAGATCTCGGGGTGTGTCTAAACTACATGGCTCCGTCGACGGAGCCATGTAGATTAGGCTGATCGGCAAAGGGAAATGAAGCCGCGATTTAAATCATCAGTTTCATTTAAATTTAAATGCCTGCCCCACTCTGCTGGCCAGCTGATGATCAGCTGTTTGTCGGCAGATCGGCGCAGTCTGGACGTGCTGTGGTCGACAAGGAAGCCTTTGTCAACCAGCACAGGTAAACCTGGTTTCACGAGGCATACCTGCGCCAGTCGACAAAGGCTTCCTTGTCGATCACGGCGCATCCACACTGCCCCTATCCTGCTATGGGAATTATGTACAGAACTGGGATAGAGCTGATATTATGAAATTCAGCTAGTGATTTTTATATATACATATATTATACATCAAGGGCGTGTCTAAACTACATGGCTCCGTCGACGGAGCCATGTAGTTTAGACACGCCCTTGATGTATAATATATGTATATATAAAAATCACTAGCTGAATTTCATAATATCAGCTCTATCCCAGTTCTGTACATAATTCCCATAGCAAAAAACAAATTCTTACTTTACTAATAGAACTTTTTTTTTACCCTACTTTGTGAGTCTATGCTACCATTAAATACAGATGCAGCAGTTCTTTTGAGAGAGGCCATATTTTAAGACATATGCTAAATAAGTTTTCTGTCTGTATATAAAATCTCTGATTTTTAAGTATGTGCATCATAGTTTTCATTCCAGAAATTACCAGAATATCCTTCTTGGCGCCTTAATTTACTCATAGCAGGGCACACAGGACACAGCCATGCCTCAGCCCTGCCGTACACCTAAATGCTTTTTTCTGTACACTTTCTCTTGTTGCTGAGTATCTCTGACAAAAGTCCTGCAGTCGCACTGACGTTCTTCACTATAAATTCATTCTTTTTCCTCTAAGTTCTGCGTCTTTAGCCAAACAACTTTTTTCTCCTCTTACTGACTCTTGCAACTGCAATCCCAACTGCTTCTTCACATTTGTCTCTTAAACTTCTCCTCTCCTGTTCCCTGCTCACTTTCAGAAAAAAATCTTTAGTATCCCTTTGGAGAAAAAAAATCAGTAAGATCCTCTCTCCACTCCACTTTTTTTCCACTGTACTCATAGTGTGCTCCTGTCACTGATGGCCTGCTCTTCTAACTCTTCTTTCTGCCCAAGTGACCTTATCTCCTCTCTTCTTGTAATCTTTCCAAACACTGCTCTTATCTCTCTTGGCCTCTATCCTCTCCACTGTCACTGATCTTGCTTAAGTCTCTCATGAGCTCTTTTTGGTCAGATTTCATGGGCTGTACCATGTTTTTACCTTCCTTGACCTCTGGCTTTTGATACCATTGTCTGCTCTCTGCATCTTTAAATTTTGTCATCTGTTAGCTTTCATAGTTCTGTCCTCTCATAGATTTCCTCTTACCTCTCTTGATTGCTCTTTCAGAGTCTCATTTGGTGGGTCATTTTCCTACCTTCCCTCCCCCCCCCCTTTATCCATCTAAAGGTGACCCTCAAAGCTTTGTCCTTAGGGAGACAGGAAGAGCCTATCTCTATTTGCACTTAACTGCAGGCCTGGTTTTAACTACCCTCTTTGTGTGATGATGTGCAAATCTACAGTTCTACTGATGAATTATATCCCTACCCTGTCTTTCTGACATCTTTTTGGATGTTCAATCAGCCCCTGAATGGAAACATGTCCAAAACAAGTTCTCAAGCTTTTTCCAATCTCTCTTCTATCCACACTTTTGCCATCATTGTGGACAGTAGAACCACCATTCTCACTTGGGCATGTATCTTGAGTGACAACTTTGATTTAGCCTTTTTTCTTCCTTTTTTAGCAGATCCCAATACAATTTTATGTATCTGGTGCATGTGCCAGAATAAATAATTTTAAAAATAAACACTTTCTGATAATATAGTATATTAAACAATTAAAAGTAACTGGTAATACATAATGCCATTTGTTACAATAAACCTCTGAAACTGTTGAGCTTTTTTGGGAGGAGGGGTAGGAAATATTCCTGTGGTAGGGTAAAACTTATCTGAGAAGTGCTAGGTGAACCTCTTTTTGGTTTGAAATATGTATTTGTTGGCGTGGATAATCATGCAGGAATTTACTCCCTGTTCTAGAGGTCCATACTCTACACATTATTGTTTTGTTATTAGTCTTAAATGGAAAGATTGTGTTTATGAACAGCATTGCTTTTATTGAGATGCTGACTTAAAAGCCAGGAATCATGACATATGGAACATTTTTACTTATTCATCAGTAACAGTTAAATACTTCTTTTATCTTAGAACCTGATGACCACCTAACAGTAGCGCAATCACTGAAGAAGGAATTTGACAACCCTGACACTGCAGACTTGAAGTTTCTAGTGGATGGAAAATATATTCATGTTCACAAAGTCCTTCTAAAAATTAGGTAAGGAATATCAACAACACTTTAGTCATGTTGAGTAGTTGTTAGTTAATGCTGTTGATGTATGGTTCCTTTGCTGTTTGATTATGAGCAGGCTGTATGCTGAAAACTACCTGCTTTTCAAAGTATTAGTCTATTTTTCTCCTCCCCTTCTTTTGGGTCCAGAAATTTCATAGCATACTGCCTTCTCCTACTGCCTTTATTCTTTATTTGTTCTCCTTCAGTATGGCTTCCACCCTTTTCACCATGTCTAATTTATCCTGACCAAGATTGTAGTGACCTTTTCCTTGCTAGGTAAAAGTAATGCTTATCTGTCTTCTCTCTCTGCTGCCTTCTACATAGTTGATCATTTTCTCCTCCTTTCCTTTCTTGACTTCCACACCTCGGGCTGTCCTTCATAAGGACTTTTTTTGCACCTGTATTGGTAGCTGTGCATCTTCCCCTCTCATGTCGGTGTTCATGTTTTTCGGGTTTCTCTCCTTGGTCCCTACTATCCTCTATTTCCAGGTGACAGCATCATCACCTGCAATTGTTTCAACTGCTGCTTCTCTGATTGCTTCCTAAATGTGCATTTCTACTTCTGACCTACTCTGTCCAATCTCACATTCCGTGTTTTACTTACTACTTTGACTGACTAAGTGAGCCTGAATTTCAGACTGACCTCCCTTTTAGTGCTCACAACTATTTGCAAGATAATATCACTTTCTAGTCTTACTGATTGATATGCAGATATTATTAAGTTATATAATCCATTACATGGGTCTTCATGTTATTATTAGAACAGAATTTCATACATTATTATTTGTATAAGCAAAAATCATAGCAAATGTTTAGAATATCTCCAAAACTGGTCATGCAATAGGTCAGTGGCAAAACAACATAGAATCCAGATCTCCTGACTCCGAGTCTAGTATCCTGTTCACTTTGTCCATACTGCTTCTCATCCCCCCGCCACTCGCTTGCTAACTCTTTTTTGCTTCACCCTCTTCAATTGTAGTGGCTGAACTTCCCTTGTCCGGCATCCTCGGGACCTGAATGGTCCCAAACAAGGGAATTTGCAGGACCAGGGGAGGTCAGGCATCCGGGCTCTCCTGGGGCTTCCCTCCTGGCAGCTGCTCCGGGAGAACCCGGAGACCTGACCTCCTCTGACTCACCTGCCTGAGTCTGCTGCCCCCTGCCATCTCGTGGACCTCAGCTCCCTGCCTCCAGCCCTGCACATCTGCTCCCAAGGGTCCCCAGCCCCGCATACGGCGCTGGCAGCTGCTCCCAGGGCTCTCTACCCCCAGGTCACTGCCCCTGCAGGCTGCCACCGACCAAACCAGCTCCGCTCCCAGCTCTCTCAACCTCTGTGGCTGGGACTCTCTGGTCTAGCAACTTCGAAGGTCCTGCTGGACCCAGGATGTTGCCAGACTAGGGATCTCAGATGAGAGAGGTTGAACCTGTACAATAATTTTCCGCTTCCTGACCTTGTACCTCCTCTGTCAGAACTTTCCTCTTGCCTTGATTACCATCATCTCTTCTCCACCTTCCCTCTTGTCATCTTGAATCTTTCACTGATTTTTTATGTTACTGCATCAGATTCAAGCTCCTCATTCTCATCATAATTAATCTTGCCACAATTTACATCTTAGCTCTCATTTCCTATTACTGCCTACTGAACCTTCTCTCCATGTGCTCCCTTCATTTCCCACACTCTGATACACACGTTCATTCTACCGTCTTTGCTTGGAATGGTTTGTTCTTCTTCGAGGTATGATGTCCATACAGATTTCACTCTAGGTATGCAGGTGGGATCAGATTCCTTTGAAAGGCATGTCTGCGGGGGCTGCAATGCTGCATATCTTTGCATTCCAGGGTGTCTGCTCAGCTACCAGTTCTTTCTTTCTACCTGTGATTGTGGGATGGAAAGCCTTCAATCCCCATGTGCCTTGAATATTTGACACATCTTGCTTTAGGAAGTGTTTTCATGAAAAGTAGTTGTTACAATCTTTTTAAATTCTTTGTAGATTTTAAAAAAATAATTACCTTTTCTCTCTCCACTTCCAGGCTCAAGATAACTACTTGTTAGTCTCGTAGAGTGGAATCTGTGTGGACAATTACTTGAGTGAGAAAGAACAGTTATCCTACAGTAACTGTGGTCCTTCGAGAGGTGTTGTTCACACAGACTCCCTGACCACCCTCCATCCCTGTTAATCACGGTCCTGTTCTTGCTATTGTTACTTGTGAAGGAACTGAGTGATGGTTGAGGCCACCTCATCTCCTTATGTCGCCGGCTATGGTGGTCATGAGGTAGGGTTGCCAACTTTCCAGCTAAACAAAACCAAATGCTCTTGCCCCGGCCCTTCTTGAATGGTCTACCCGACACAGTCCATTCCCCTCTCTCTCACTCACTCGCTCATTTTCACTCGACGGGGGAGAGTTTTTGCCTAGCTATTCAGTTGAAAATTGGACACCTGCACACCCTATCATGAGAGCACATAGGGTAGTGGACACTGCTGTTCAAAAGAATTTGGTATGACACACGATGGGTACATGCACAGATAAAGTGGAGTATATGGACCTCACCAGGGGTTCTCAACCTTTCCAAACTACTGTGCCATTTTCAAGAGTCTGAAGTCTAAGCCCCACCGTTTGGAGAGTAAACCTGATTCTCCACTACCCTGGGAGATGCATGTGGGACCCATGTGGAATGGGACCCCAGGCAGTTGCTTTGTTTGCCACCCCCTAATGCTGGCTTTATATTTGTGACATCCTCCCAAACCTATGCTCCCAGGTTGAGAAATACTGATCTAGATGAGTTGAGGTGCCCCCTGGAAGACCTGTCCATATCCCATACTGAATTACACAAAAACCTCACAATTACTGTAGTTCTTTTATCTGTCTAGCACCCTCCTTAAATTCTTCTCTAAATTCCATATCTTTCAAATATTGATACTATTTTGTTCTTTTTGCTAGATAACCTGTCCCTGTCTTTCCTTACCTTAACTATTCTTATATTCTCGCTTTTCCAATATTAGTTTGTAAATCCTTTGGGGTGAGAACTGTGTCTTACCCATAAAGCTTGTTTACATTTATGACACTGTATAAGTGATTTCCATTAGCAATAGGGTCAGACAGGTGGTCAATTAAATTGCAATGTTCAGGTGCCAAGCTATTGGCATCTTGTCTAGAAATGAAACCTATTAAAGTAACTGCTTTTGAATTGGCCTAATGGAGGTGTTACACAAGGACCTGAATTTGACTCCCACGCTTGTTCTCAAGCTTCTGGAATAGTAGGCACTTTATGAAAAGTGAGGGATAAAACAGCTCATTTTACCTTCTGTCGTCTCACTCTTGTTGGAGACATAATACAAGAGTCCCCTGCTTTACGATGGCCTGATTTATGACCCCTCACGCTTATGACCTTTTCCCGTAAGTGGCCGAAATCCCCTGGCTTACCTCCTCAGCCCTGCCTTTGCGACAGCATATGACGCCTGTTGTAAATGTGGGCTCAAGTTATGATGCTCCCAACTTGCGACACTGTCCCCAGGGGCAAATCAGGGACAATCTGTAACCAGTTCTGGAGAGAGCTGCTCTTAGTTTTTTTCTCTCCTAGTGAAAAGACGCTGTTTTTTCATAAGGAGCTTTTGCTAGTCCCTTTAAAAGATGCAGCAGGCACTTCCGCCTTTCCAAATTCCTGACTTTTAGCTAGTGGAGAATAACTAATGGCTCTACTCATATTCTCCTCCATTGTTACCCACCTACCTTGTCTCAGGAAACAAAGGTGCAGGATTTTGGCTGCCCCATTAACCCTTTGCTCCTGTACAACAATGCAAGAGAAACCAAATTATAACTCCTGAGTACTGTATTCATTTGTATTTTATGTTTATATATTTTCTTGACACAAAAAGTGAGTAGCAAAGCAAAATATATAGAGATGGCTTTATCAAAGTGCTATACATTGTATTTTGTATCTTCCTGTTTGATATAGACACCTATTAATTTATCAAACAACTGTTCACCATGTGTGTCTTATTTTTGTTTGTCAGATGTGAGCATTTTCGTTCTATATTAAGTAACGCTGATGATGAAATTATAGAAATGAGTGAATTCTCTTATCAAGTTTATCGAGCTTTCCTGGAATATCTGTATACAGACAGCATCAGTCTCCCTCCTGAGGATGCAATAGGTAATTGGCATGAATTCAAATAATCTCTGGGAAGGAATTCAGTTTGTTTTTAAGGGTTCTAGAAAGATGAGGACTGATCATGTTCATTGTTATTTTACTACTGTTTATACCTTCTTTTATACTCCAGTGTATGTACATGAATGAGGTGATCCATGCAGCAGTGAATCATGTGCAGGAAGAGAAGTCAGCAAAGATGCAGTGGGAGAGGAGGACAAAATGAATGGGTGGGGATGATAAAACATATTATAAACAGTTTTTAAAAGACCCTTATACCTTAATGTTACCTTTGCATTTGATGTAGTTGCACAGAGATTATTTGACCACAAGTGGGAAGGCAGCTGGTTTAAATGATGACTGAAAAGAGGAGAGATGGTTCACTAAGTAATCTCTTTGTTAAAATGTGATGCAAACTATGAAAGAGAGGGAGAATTTGTGTGTTAATAAGTCTGTACTCTTCAATTTGCATAAAGCCTTTTTGGAGGTTTTGTATAAAAGTGTGTCATTGATCATAAAGAAACAAACTGATACATCTGAAATACAAGTTTATATGGCTTTCATTAATACAACTAGATATCTGAATTTTCAATCTAATTTTCAACAGGGCTGCTAGATTTGGCAACATTTTATAGAGAAAATAGATTGAAAAAGCTTTGCCAGCAAACTATCAAACAAGGCATATGTGAAGAGAATGCAATTGCTCTTCTTTCAGCTGCAGTCAAATATGAAGCTGAGGTATGGAAAACTTTTATATATAGTAGAAGTTTTTTAGAGAGATAATTGTCTTTCTGAGACACAAAACTATTTAATCCATTATTGCAACTAATAGACCTCACCCATGAATATTTTAATCAACTTTTCTGGTTTCACTAAGCATGCACATGTCCCCTTTCAGTCCCTACAAATGTAGCTGCTAATGTCATCTTCCATGCCTACTGACTCGATTGGGTCAGTCTCTTCTTTGAATTTTTCCACTGTCTCCTCATCTGCTCTGGCACGAACTTTAAGCCTCGCGTTACTACTTAATACATAACTTTGCAGGTGAGTTTTGCATCATGTTCTGACCATGTTCTGCCAACATGCCACATCTTCACCATCCATTTGTCAACTTTTCACACAGTCCTCTGTCACCTTCACATGGACCCTTACACAGGGTGTGACCTCCTTAGGCTATCTCGTAAGACCCTTCTCTATTTATATTAAAGCCTCTTTCAAATATTGACCTTTGCTGTGCTGCTTACAGTGAATCATGTTGACATGTAACAATTGGCTATTGTTCAATTTCCCCATTCTGTGTGTTCTCATTTACTATTCTTGAATTGTGAACAGGTAACATCATTCTGGAATGTCTGGAAAGCACCAAACATGTAATGGGCACGACTTAATCTGTTTGAAAATAAGCTAATATTTTATATTATGAAAGAAGTTTGCTTTTTCTTAATTTTTGAGTACTACCTTGTCTGTACAATATCTGCAGTTTGGTGTTTACAGTATATCTGAATTTTAGACTTAATATATCAATTCAGCCTGCCCAGCTAATGAAGGACTGCCTTTAATTCCCACAAATACTAACATGAGTTTAGTGTATGCATTGAGATTATGGGCTAAATTGGTTACTGGCCAAAACAGCTGCCATTAATTACAGTATAATAGCAGTCTGCTTAATCCAGTGGTGAATTTGACCCAACTGGTTGGTAGGGAACCACGCACATGTGAGTAAATGTGACCAAAATATTCACTCGTGCTGATATCTTGGTTTATTACGTGGAAAAACAGTGAAATCTATCATCCTGGCAGGTTTTTATCATTTAAAGCTTTATTCTTATTATTTAATAGCCAAGTCACATTGGGAGACCCAAAGCATGGGCGCTGAACTGAGATCTTTTAAAATGTGTATTTGTTTTGTTTAAGTTTGCATTTCTGAAAAAGCCTGTAGGGAGGGATTTAAATTAGGAGAATGTTCATTCCTGGCAGAGCTGGAATGGTGGGCTAATTCCATGGATAGAGGGCACTGAGGGAAGTAGAAAAAAAGGAGTCAAAACTATCATCATTGATTATATTAGTGTGACAGGATAAAAAAAATGAGATGTAAATTGGGATGCATTTTGCAGGACTTGAATATGAAGAAGCAAGAAGTTTAAATTTAAAATGGAGGGATTGGAAGAAGAGGGTGATATGATCAGATTTAAAAAGATACTTCTGGCTGGAGGCAGAACAATATTAGGAGACAGACAAGATGGAATTAAGTAATCCAAGCAGATGATGACCAAGGCATTAATAGTTGTAACAGTAGGGACAAAAAGGAAGGGTTGGATTTTCAGTGTTGTGGAAACAAAAGTAAAAGATACTGTGGTATGGAGGAGCACAGCAACTTTTACTCTTGATTGTCTGCTTTGACTAAAAACCTGCCTCACCTTAAATATTTTCTACGTCTTTAATTCTACTTGTCAACATCAGAATAGGTTTTGATCTCCCTGTGTTACTTGGAACTGTTACAAGTGCCATTAGAGTGATGCAACATATAAAACTAGCCTAGACAAAAACACTTGTGAATATATTGTAGGAAGCAGGCATTTATGGGGTTGGATTGGATGATCTAATGCATGTTTTTCAGAGCTACCTTCTGTGATTCATAGCTTTAATAAGCCACTGTAATATTCTTGTATTGTCCTTTAGTATAGCTATTGATTATAAAATGAAAGAGGCAGCACTGTTAAAACTGCAGAAATAGTGAAGGTATAGGATAACTGCAAATACTGTAGTTGGTAAGAATACAAGGGGCAGAAATGTAAAACATGGAATTTCCCTTTAGGAATCATCACTTCATAAAATAAATCTACGTGCAGCAGTTGGAAAAGATACCATTGTTCAATTTTTAATTTATTTTTACTTTATGCAGTCAGCACAAGAAAAAGATGGTAATGTACTGTATTTCTCAGCCCTTATATTAAAAACAAATTGATTCAGTTGACTTTACAAAAGATAAATGCATCCAGAAGTGAGTCATAAAGAGGAAACCTTTGAAAATTGTCAAATACTTGCTGGTATCTTGTGTATTTATTTACAGAAGTAGTTCTCTGCAATTTCTATTTTTATAGCACATTTCTAATGTATCCTGGGCTGGATTGAAGATTAATTAGCTGTTATTTATACTACATAATGAAAGTTACGATTTCCAAACCAGCAGAATTGCTAAACATTACTTGACTGGCCAGTGAAAAGTTGTTTTGATTTTTTTCCAGTATATCAGGGAATCAATCTCCCTTAATTTTCTTTTAGATAAAGAATGTAGTATAATCCATAATTGCCCAGGCTCTAGCAGTAGAATTCCTGGAATATAATGAAATCTAAGTTATCGTTACATTTCCTGTGAACACCCTTCCCCCCTACCCCCTGCCACTTTCTTCTGTGTTTTTTCTGTTTTCTGTTCTTCCTTTTTTTGTTGCTGTTGTGTCGTCCACCACACATGCTTTTGTGGTTCCACCTTTTTCCTCTGGGCATTTTTTTCACTTCACTCCCCTTTTAAAATCACTTTTGTAACTGTTAGTCTCCTTTTTTGACGTTAATTTCATCTCTGCAGAGGCAGCAGGCTAGTAGCATTTAACCCATGGAAGGGACTCGAAAGGGAAATTAAGTCTTTTCATAGGTTCTGCTCTTCCCTCCTGCGCCCTGTGCATTATTTGTGTGTTTCACACTGACAAGTGATATATTTTTTTTTTCAACAAGCAAACAAAGAGGTTGCAAATTGTGGCTCATGCAGTCAAATGTTGCCTGCAGCTAACTATCTGTAATGTGCTTGTTGCAAATGATAGGTTCCTTCCTTTTCTTTCTGCAGAAGTTGTTTATACAGGCAGCAAAGAAGTTGTTTATATAGGCAGTTGTTTATACAAGCAGCAAAGAGGACTGGCTCAGTGCAGAGAGATGAAATCCTGCTAGTCCATGGGCAGCGAGTTATATGGGCTCGTGGTGCCCATGCTCCAGCAATATGCAGAGCCGGGAGCGCTGCTCCAGCAATATTTGGAGCTGGGTCTCTCCCCCAGTCCTGCCTGGAGCAGGCGCCCGCCCCCCCCTGCCCGCCCTCCCCCCCGGCCTGCCGCTGCCGCCATGCGTGGCGTTTCCAGGTGACCGGGGAGATGCCCGGGTGTGACGTGACATCATGGCCCAGGACTTTAAAACTGCTCGGCGCGGTGTTGTGCCGCGCGGCCTAGTTCCCGTTCGGAGTCGGGGACTTCTGGGGCCCGAGTGCAGACTCCGGCCCTGCAAAGTGGAAGGCAGAAAGGAGGGGAGGGGGAGGAAACTGAAGCAGGGAGCTACAGTAAGGCCACAAAAGATGTGGATATCAGAGACATTCCTCGCACTTAGCCCCAATGCTCAGTACACTAAACCATGGTGCCTCTCCCACTTCTTAGAAAAGTGGATTTTAGAAATAGCTTTTCCCTTATCTTTGCAGTCTGTTATCACTCAGTCTTGACAGTATACTTAGTATTATGATCAGTTATTATTTGTTTAGAGCCAGCAGCATGCACAGTAGTGTGCAAAACAGACAGTCACAGAGTAGTATCGTGTAGATTATGGACAGTGTAGGAAACTTAATGATTTTTGAGCGTATCACTGGCAGGTAATTATCAGTGGTAGGATTAAATGTTTTGCACCTGAGAAATCATGATTAACAGGATCTGTTAGTTATCTGAGCAACACAAGCATTTTATTCACCTTCAGTTGCAAACATGATTCTTTTGGTAATGGTGATGGTTTACATCTGCCTACCTAGAATTAAAGGTTGTGAACATTATGTGGGCAGATCTGTTATTTTAGTTGTTGCCAAGAAGTCTGTGATGTATTTTATTGATAGTATGACAAGGCTTCAGAAAGCAATTTCATATCCAACCTGTCTGGAGACGTGAACATTAATCCTGACCTCAACTTCAAATCAGCCTCTTTCAGGGACTATCCCAGCCCCACCCCTCGTAATCTAAGACTGGCCAGCATTCACAAAGGCCCAGAATGAAACCCTCCTCAGGATTGCCTGAGGTACATGAAATAAATGGAGGTGTCCTTATAATACAGATGTAGCAAAACATCATCAATGAATTTGCACTGTGTTCCCCCTAGCAAGGCTGCACCATGTCCGATTTGCTTTCTCAGCACTAGCTTAACACAGTGTGAAAATTAAACCTGTTTTTTTTTAAATGAATATTCAGATGTCAAAACCTAAAGGCTACGTCTACACTGCAGGCTTCTTGTGCAAGAACTGGTTTGCGCAAGAGTTCTTGTGCAAAAGGTCTTGCACAAAAGTGCGTACACACTGCCATGTGGCTTTTGGCCATTTTAGCCATAGGTGTTTCTTGCACAAGAAATCCCTGCCGAGTATCCACACTGCCCTCTTGCACAAGAGAACTACACTTGTTAGAAAAGAGCGTAGCTCTTGTGCAAGACACCCTCTCTTACCACGCTGTACTGTAAATTTCCTTGTGCAAGAGCAGGCAGACAGCGTGGATGCTCTATGGGTTCTAGCGCGAGAATGGCCGTACTTGCACAAGAAACTCGCTCTCCCCCAGGGCCGGCTGGCCGGCCCTTTTGAATCCCCCACCGGTCCTGTCTCCTCCTCCTGTTGCGGGGAGATGACGTCACCTTGAGTCTCGTCCCGATTGGCCTCCTCTTGGGGCCGGCTCTCTCTCCCTCTCTCCGGCCCCCGGAGACTCGTTGATCAGGCGCTTCCGCGTCACCCTGTGTGGCCACCTTGGCAGCGGGGAGGGAACCCCCGGCACCCACGAGACCTCCAGAGGTGTGGTTAACGGGGGTCAGAGGGCATGGTTAACAGAGGCCAGGGGGTGTGGCTAATGGGGCACCACCAAAAATTATACAAACCTGCCTCCCACTGGCTGCTACTGCTAGAAGGTTGAGAGGGCAAAGCTCACTGACTACAGCTGCTGTTGCATAGTTTACAAAGTATATGTCCAGCATCTACGTTGGGTGCACATATGATAGAATTTTCAGAAAATCTCACTATTGATCTAACACCAGTTGCTAGCAAGTCTAGGGCAATGCATTTATTTTTACCATTGTGTCTAATCCAGCTGCTGGTTTTTCTCTTAACATGTTAAGAGAGACAAATTCAGAGATCAACGTATATATCTACATTCTTGTGAGGCTAACATGTCCTTTCATTAAGTTAAGTATTTGGGGTAGAGGAGGTAGTTAATTTGGAGTCCCACAATGGCTGGAAACTAAATGGTATCTTTGGCAGATTTTGCAGCGGACCGCTGTTGAAGTTAACATAAAGGAGGGAAGGAATCCTTAGCCTTTTACCAGGCATACGCTAGGAAAATTGAAAGCTTTATTGTGTGATAATGCATTCATTTCCTTTTGAGTGTATAAATAACAATTTTTAGAGCAATTGTATATGGTTGCACCTTTACAATAACCAGCCAGAGAGTAGAGACTGATGCAGAGGGGACAAAGGCTGGGTCGTGGTCCTTCAGCTCAGTCTATCCCTTCTCTAACGTATTTTTACTGCGCAACTCTTGCTTCATCTTTCTCTTTCGGGTAGATTAGGGTCAACATGGGCAGCTTCCTCTTTTGATAGTTAATGGGGGTTTTCAGGAAGTGTGGTCTTACATTGCACTTTAGGAAGAAGAATAGCTGCATATCAGCTCCATCAAAAGAGCAGCAGCTGCTTTCACAAGTTTCTGACTTTGATATAATAATGGTGTGTTCTAGGTATTATTTAGCATTTTTAAACATTCATAGTGTAAATAGCCACTATGTGCATACTTACTTACATTTGTAATACTATATTTACTAACTCACAACCTTATTTTGTTCCTAGGATTTAGAAGAATTTTGCTTCAGGTTTTGTATAAACCACTTGACTGTTGTGACACAAACTACAGGCTTTGCAGAAATGGACCATGACCTCTTGAAGAACTTCATTAGTAAAGCAAGCAGAGTAGGAGCATTTAAAAACTGAAGAATGGTTGCTGCAAAACAAGGTGCTTTCATCATGGGAACACTTGCCCTTTGAAAAACATACCAGCCCTCAGAATTTATGAATGCTCGAAAGAAAAGATGACATCATCCATTGAAGTCAGTGTTAATATTAATGGGTGGATGTAGTAAGCTTCTGTATAGCCTAATGCACAAGCTTTGTGAAGAAGGGTATGGAATAGAATAACAACCTGCAAGAAGCTAGTTTTACATAATTCTAATGGAATAATTACGTTTTCCTTTAAAATCAAGTGGACTGCTCTGTATTTTCCATATGTATTCTTCCCCCCCTCCTTGAAATATTTTCAAAAACAGCTTTTTAACATCTTCATCTGAACTGGATAGCATAAAGCTGGCTGTTTCATGCTAAAGCTTCATTATGCACTTTTACAGTTAATAAAAGTAAATGTGCTACAGGAAGATTCCCCCCTTTCTGGTTAATTTACCTTCCCCTCTAGAGAAATTTAGAGATACTTGCTTTGTGTTGCTAAATGTAGGATAAAGGAATATATTATTCTAGCAGATGTACCCAATGTTGCTCGGGTCCTTAACTGTAGCAGTGGTTGGGGTATTTTTTTAATTAAAAAGGAAAATGTACATGCTTTATTTAAATGATGGCAGGCAAGAGTGTATGTGTGTGCGTGTGCGCGTGTGATCCAAGGCAAAGGGTGCAAGAGTCTGGGCATCTGACGAAGTGGGTCTTTGCCCACGAAAGCTTATGCTCCTACACTTCAGTTAGTCTATAAGGTGTCACAGGACTCCTCGTCGCTTGGGCACGGAGTAGGTTGCAGGCGTTAGGGGAGGGTGGGGATGCAGGAGTCAGAGGAGCAGGTTGAAAGATGTTGGGGGAGGACTCGGGGCAGAGAGTGGGAAGTGCAGGACTCAGGGCAAGGGTCTGGGAGGGCTCACTGGGATCACTCACGGCAGTGAGGCCAGCACTGCTCCTATGGCAGTGGCTGCCCAGGGTGCTTACAACCATGCTGCTCCAGGGCAATGAAATGACAGCTCCCCAGGGCCAGCCAAGACTGTGCTCCCTGCTGGTGGCTCTTCCCTCGGAGGTCTGCACTAGCCAGTGTTCCTCCACAGAGGGCCAAGGCTATGCTGCCCTGTTGGCTGCTTCTCCTGGGGGGTGCAGCCCAGCCCCAGCCAGCAGCTGCTTCCTGGGTCACCTGGGGCTATGCTGCCCAGAAGGTGGCTCCTCCCGGGACTGGTGGGGCATGGTGGTGGGGGCTGCCTGGTCCTGGCTGGCAGGTGGGACTTCCCCACTTCAGGACTGGGGGCTGAGGACCTGGAGGGGGGAGTGTTTTTATGCTCCTGCTTTGGGGTAGGGAGGTAACTTATGAGTGTCCAATGGCCTGCAATATGCAAAGCTCAAGATCCAACTGGCTGTTCTCTTACTGGTGTGGCTGCCCCCTGTGGTCACTGCAGTATAATTGTCCCCCTGTGGTCGGGGGGAGCATAACTATCCCTGCTATCATTCCTCTCCCATTCTGTTTGATGAGACACAATCCCATTTCAGGCCCATCCCATTGTACTGGCACAACCAAACCCTTTTCATGTTTTAAGTTAGGATAAGAGGATGCTGCATACCAAATTTGGTTGCCCTGGCTCTTATCATTTAAGAGGACTTCTTGAACAAATGGACTCACAGGCTGTGTCTGGACTACACGCCTTTTTCTAAAGAGGCTTTTTCGAAAGTATCGTTCAAAAAAGCCTCTTTCATAAAAGAGCATCTAGATAGCATTACACGGATGGAAAAATTGATTGCTTTTTTGAAAGATTTTGAGGGAAAAAGAAAGGCACCAAAAACCGCTTCTGACATGGCATGGGGGCAGCATTTACTTCCTGGTGCTGCTGCCTGCCCTTTGCTTAAAGGGATCCCCCTGGACAGCCGTTGCTCTGCTCCTGCTTCTGGCTTGCCTACCTCCTAGAGGGACAGCAAAGCTGCTGCAGTGCTTGCTCTGGTTGCCCTGCTTTCTTGGAAACGGTTTCTTTTCTGGTTGGTTTTTCTGCTTTTCACTGGGTTTTTTTGGCCATGGAGCCAGAGCTGCCCCTGGGCAGGCAATGGCCCCATACCATCTGCGTGACACAGTCACGATGCTCCTTCCCCATCTGGACCCGGACCAGAGATAGGAAAGCTTTGCCCAGGATACAGGATCAATGCCTTTGCCTCCAATCTTCTTCCTGGAGAGGCATTTTTGGAGGCTCGACACCAGTTCCAACAGCTCGTTGTGGAGCTATGGAACGACCAGCAGTGGCTCCACAACTTCCAGATGCAGAAGGCTACATTCCACCAGCTGTGTGTTTAGCTCTCCCCTGAGCTCCAACGACAGGACACCCACCATCCCCCTGGAAAAGATGGTTGCTATTGCCCTGTGGAAGTGTGCAATGCCCGACAGCCACTGCCCGGTGGGACACCAATTTGGCTTGGGCAGGTCTACTGTCGGGTCCGTCTTGAAGGAGGTAAATCACTGAAGGGTGACAGTCACTGCTGGGGGAGTGAAAAAGGGGGACTGTCAAGAAAGGGCAAGGAGTAGAGGGGGAGCTCCTTGACTTACCCTGAGCTGGTCCCAATCCGTGCACCGCCCCATCGAGCAGCCCAATTCATTAATAGGAAGGGCTAGTTTTCAATGGTGCTCCAGGCCCTGGTCGACCACTGGGGACAGTTTACTGACATTGTGTTGGGTGGTTGGGGTGGGCACATGATGCCCACATCTTCAGGAACTCCTGCCTCGGCTGCAGGCAGGAACATTTTTCCTGCATTGGGACCTTGCACTTGGGGACGTGCACATGCCGACGTGCATTGTGGCTGATGCAGCCTACCTCCTGATGCTGTGGCTGATGAAGCCCTACACCGGCCACCTGGATGCGAGCAAGGAGCAGTTTAATGCACATCTTAGTCGGGCATGCAAGTGGAATGCGCGTTCAGACGTTTAAAAGGGAGGTTCTGTTGCTTGCTCACACGACTAGAAGTAGGGGAACACAACATCCCTGAGGTGGTGGCCACGTGTTGCGTTCTCCATAACCTTGTGGCGAGAAAAGGGGAGGCCTTCCTCCCAGGGTGGGGGACAGGTGCTGATGGCGAGGGGAGGCAATTTGAGCAGCCCTGGATGGCTGCCATCCGCCAGGCTCACCAGGCTGGAGTTCACATCTGGGAGGCCCTGAGGGAGCAATTCTCTGAAGGAGCCCACTGACTCTCCCCAGGCTCTCCCCTATGGGGGCTTGGCCCTGGCCCAATACAACCTTCCTTTCATAACCCTCACCCGGACCCTCTGTCTAGAAACACCAGGTTTTGTTTGAAAACATAAATTTCTGTTTTATTGTAATCAAGATCAATAACTGAAAGCATCTAGAAATGTAGATAAAATATCAATTCTTATGTTCATTGTATAGTTTTCTTAAAGCACAGTTTTTGAGTCAAAAATAAACATTTTCTTAAATAAACAACATTGTCTGTAACTGGGGAGGTGGGGTGCTGAAAACCTGGAAGGGGGAGAGGATTCAGGTCAGAAGCAGAAGTAGTCTAGATGTAACCTTTCAGTTTCCATTCTGAACAGAGAATTAATTCTATGTGACGTCTTTAAACAGCAGCAGATGTTCCATGAAAAATCATTCCAATTAACCATGATTCACAGAAATATGCCTACATATTGTTTCACTTCTCTCATTTTTGTCATTCATTTACTTTTTCCATTTTCAGGACTATTATATTTCTGTGATTGTGCTCCTCTGAATGTATTTTCTCAGGATTTTCATCCTTTGATCTAGATGGAAGAGCTCATTGTCAAATATTTGTTTTCCATGTAAGTACTCATGGTTTGTGATGCAGTCATCCCTTAGCCTTCTCTTAGGCTACGTCTAGACTGCAAGCTTCCTTTGGAATAAGCTTTTCCAGAAGAGATCTTCCAGAAAAACTTATTTAGAAAGAGATCGTCTACATAGCAAAAGCACAACAAAAAAGTGCTGTGCTATTTTGAAAGATAGCATCCACATTGATTGTATGCTATCTCACATTTAAGGCCCCTGGAACCACTTTAGGCTTGTCATTAGTTCTGCAATTGCTTCCAGGTGCTGTTGCCTAAGGCTAGCTGAGACACGTGTTTAAAGGGACCCCTTTGGAGAGCCATTTCTCTGCTTTTGCTGCTTGCTTGCCTAACTCTCCAAGAGACAGCAAGGCTACGTCTACACTGGCACCTTTTCCGAAAGGGGCATGCTAATTTTAAACTTCAGAATAGGGAAATCCGCGGGGGATTTAAATATCCACGCGGGATTTAAATAAAGATGTCCGCCGCTTTTTTCCAGCTTGTAGATAAGCCAGAAAAAAGCGTCTAGACTGGCGCGATCCTCCGGAATAAAGCCCTACTTCAAAGTAGGAATAAGAGATCCTCCGGAATAGGGCTTTATTCCGGAGGATCGTGCCAGTCTAGATGCTTTTTTCCGGCTTATCTACAAGCCGGAAAAAAGCGGGGACATCTTTATTTAAAGCCCGCGGGGGATATTTAAATCCCCCGCGGATTTCCCTATTCTGAAGTTTAAAATTAGCATGCCCCTTTCGGAAAAGGGGCCAGTGTAGATGTAGCCCATGTGTGAGCTAGGCAGCAGCCTCAGCATCACAGGGGTCCCAAAGTGCTAATGGGACTATATGCCCCTCCCCCCCCGCACAGCCAACCCACCTGTGTGTGTTCTGGAAATGGCTCCTGGCACCCCATGTTCACACCCTTGTGTCGCACACTGCTGCTACATGGTTGCTGTCCAAGCTGAGTATTACACATGTCGCTCACACATCAGCCACTGTGCACCCACCCTGTGTGTGGCACAACTTCACAGCACTCACCTGCTGGTTCGTCCCCGATGTCCGAAGACACCTGGGAGGCCTCTGGGGTCTGGATGACCAGCTGCAGGGTGAGGATCACAGTATCATCGTCCTCCTCCTCTTCTAGCACTGGGCCTCACTCTCCAGATTCCCTGGACTGCTTGTGCCCCAGCTCTGGTTCCTCCATGACAGGGTCTGATAACCCAGATTGCACGAGATGCAATCTTGGCTTCCCCACCGCCAAGAATGTGCACCAGTGCCACGTAGTATGGAGAGTAGTGTGGGGCTGCCCCAGAGCTGGAGCTCTCATCTTGGGCCTTCCAGTGGGGACTCCGGAGACCCCACTGAGCCAAAAACATCTCTCTTATTGGACCTTATATCACTGACTGCCCGTAGAACTCCATCTCGTATTCCTCCTACACTACTCCTGCAGCATGAGTGGAGGGCTTGCAAGGATTCCTCCTCGGACCACAGCTCAAGGAGATTCTTGATTTCTGGCCCTTACCCTGCTGGTGTCCGGCGTTTGGAGCCCCTGGGTGGGTCCTCAGAAGTCTCCCTGGAAGGGCCAGGAGGGTCTTGGGGCTGTGACATGGCTGGGGCCTCCTGCCACAAATGGCTGGCAGGGTACCTGTCCCTTTAAAACATGGCTGCAGACAGGAACAAGAGAGGTGCAAGGCATGCAGCTGGACTGTCCACCAGGGCTTTTCCTGGTGGCCTTTTTTTTTCCCCCCTTGAAAAAACTGGCTCCCTGCGTCCACACATGCCTTTGTTTGACAGATCTCTGTCAAAAAAGGCATTCTTCCTTGTAAAATTAGGTTTGCCATTGTCGAAAAAACTTCCGTGTTCTTTTGATTTAATTTTGAAAGAATGCAGTGGTAGTCTAGACGCAGGTACAGTTTTTTTGAAAAAAGGCTACTTTTCTCGAAAAAACCCTGTAGTCTAGACACACCCACAGAGACAGACAGACAGATATACATATACAGTAAAACTCCAATGGTCCGGCACCATCAGGAACCCGGAAGTGCTCCGGGCAGCTGGACCATTGGAACTGCTCTGCCCCCAGCTTCCCGGATTCAGCCGCTGCTATAACTGACCAGTGGCTGAATCTGGGATGCCGGGGGCAGAGCAGCTGGAGTGCTGCCGGGTAGGTACCGTAGTGCTGCCCCTCAGGGCTGCGGGACCAACCTGGCTGTCCCCCAGCTGTCCCCAATTCAGCCGCTGCTGAAACTGACCAGCAGCGGCTGAATTGGGGACAGCTGGGGGACAGCCAGGTTGGTCCCGCAGCCCTGAGGGGCAGCACTACGGGACCTACCCGGC